TGTGCTATCAGTGCTGAGCCTGCTTCCAATCCTCTGTCTCCCTCTCTCTCTGCCCCTCCCCTGCTCGTGCTGTTTCTCAAAAATAAACATTTTTTTAAAAAAGAAATGTTCGTTAATTGTTGTTGAATAGTCCATTTCTCCCCCCTCTTAAAATAATTCAGATTAAAATTTTTAACACTCATGATCTAACAGGGCAATGTTTTTTAGTATATTTAGATAAAATTCAGTAATTAAAAAATTTTAAAAAAATTTTTTAACGTTTATTTATTTTTGAGAGACAGAGAGCACGAGCAGGGAGGGGGCAGAGAGAGACACACAGAATCCGAAGCAGGCTACAGGCTCTGAGCTGTCAGCAGAGCCCGATGCGGGGCTCGAACCCACGAACTGTGAGATCACAACCTGAGCCGAAGTTGGATGCTCAACCGACTGAGCCACCCAGGTGCCCCCTTTTTCATTTTTTAACGTTTATTTATTTTTGAGAGAGAGAGCATGAGTGGGGAAGGGACAGAGAGAGACACACACAGAAAAAAATTTTTAATGTTTATTTATCTTTGAGGGAGAGATTGGGGGCTGGGGGAGGGACAGAGAGAAAGCGAGACAGAAAATCCCAAGCAGGCTCCTCGCTGTCTGCACAGGGCTCAAACCCATGAACTGAACTGTGAGATCATGATCTGAGCTGAAGTTAGACACTCAACCGACCGAGCTATCCAGGTATCCCAAAATTCAGTAATTTTTGAAAACGTGAATTTGAAGATCTCCAAAATCCAATCCTTCACAAGTTAAATAGTTTTATATTTAAAATTATTCTGTATGAAACTAGTAAGTCTATCAAATGTATTAAGTCTTTTATTTTCCTCTGACTCTTCTTCAAAGGAGTCTATTGGTTATTGTGGCTCCATAAAAAAAAATAATAAATTTCTCTAAAAGTCGATGCTGAGTACAGTTGAAGTACACCAACTGGGAATTAAGAAAACAAAAAAACAAAACAAAAAAAAAAAAGCAGCAATGACTAAGTTCTCCAAGATAAAAAAGAAGCATTCATAAGAGTTCAAGAATCTCTTGTCATCAGGGGACAGTTTTATAGATCTGCTGAAATGTTAGTGTATTCCTTGTTAAGGTCCTGACTTTCCCTGTCCGTGAGTTCAGACTTCTTGATTTCACTTCCCATCAGCACCAACAGATGCTGCATTTCAAGTTGGAACAAAGGTTCCTTTTCAGAACAGTCCACAAAATGGCAGGTTCTTCACTACTCCCTCATTCTCTGTGCACATGCTCCTCCCTGATCCTGCCTCTTTCCAGGTCATTTAACCCTGATCTTCCCTCTCCTTCCTATCTGCTCTTCTCACTTTCTCTTCAAACACGTCCTACCTGTTTACCCCAACGTCTTTGCTTCTCTGTTTCCTCTTCCCTCCCCATGCATATTCACCAGCTGTCCTATAGTGCACGCCTTTCACTCATTCACGATTCGTGATGGAGTACTCACTATGGAATCTTCTTTTCTTGTCCCGTCTGCTCCTACCCTCAGCTGGCCATCATCGGTTTCAACAATCTGTACTGAAATGAGCATGTCAGTGTGTGTGTGTGTGTGTGTGTGTGCTGGGGAAAGGGAAGGAGAGAAAATACTCACTGTTTTTCCCCTTTTCAATAATTTGAATGTTAGTTGAAGAAGGATGCGTCTGCCCGCCATCATGTTCCCAGTCTTTGTTCTGCCTCTTTTAAAATGGCATTATTGGGGCGCCTGGGTGGCTCAGTCGGTTGAGCGTCCGACTTCGGCTCAGGTCACGATCTCGCAGTCCGTGAGTTCGAGCCCCGCGTCGGGCTCTGGGCTGATGGCTCAGAGCCTGGAGCCTGTTTCCGATTCTGTGTCTCCCTCTCTCTCTGCCCCTCCCCCGTTCATGCTCTGTCTCTCTCTGTCCCAAAAGTAAATGAACGTTGAAAAAAAAAATTAAAAAAAATAAAAATAAATAAAAAATAAAATAAAATGGCATTATTTGGTCTACTGGACAGGAAGTAAAGACGGTACAGAGAGTGTGTTGGAGCAGTTAATAAAATAAATTGGAAGGAGAGCAAGGAATACACTACTTCTGCCCTTGGAGACAAGTCACCGGGTTAAAGTAAAGAAGCCAGGCAAGAAAGGCAAGAGGATGAGCTGGAATCAGACCTCGCGCCACTCGGAAGAGACAAACGCATCACATTTTAGTTACCAATCTAGGACTGACGAACTTAACAGGAACCCCTCAACCAAGAAACACCCCCACGTGTCATGGTGGGACACATTAGTGCCTGGAGGAGACACATCATAAACAAGGAGTCATTTTCCATGGTAACACTTTAATCACTTTGTCAAAACAATCTGAACACGCGTACATAAATACTTGATTTGCTTCAAGAATGGGTAGCATAAAAGTCCCTGAGATACATCCAAAAAGGACTTGAAACGTAATGCGATTATTCACCATACTAATTACCAAGAACTTGGCTCCCTTCCCTCCTATCTAAGGCATGTGACACTTTAAAACACACACACACATACACACACACACACACACATATATATAATGCTAAATCAGAGTCTCCCTTTCTGGTGCCTGGTTTTCTTCCAGTTTATTGCTGCTGGGTAGGAAGTCATTTCCAGACTACAAGGAAGGTACCTGGGGAGGTGAATTAGTTCTTTAAACTGTGGGGTGCCAGTTGGTAGAACGATGGCAAGTGAAACTAGAAGGTCCCAAGAGAAGATGTCCAACCCCCCCTCCCCCATTCTGCAGTTCAAGTGACAGAGGCTCCAAGGGGTTGTGACTTGCTCAAGCACGGCTGGTCCTGCCTCTACTACTGTAACCTCCAGCAGGTCCTTCAGATGTCTGGACCGCGACTTCCTCTATAAAATGGAATGGTGATAATCATAGCTAACATCTTCCAGGTGCTTCCTATGTGCCAGACACCGTACTGAGTACTTTGTGTCTCATCTAATTCCCCCAACACCTCTGTCAACCATAGATGATTACCTTTCATTAGAGATGCCAAAGCACAGAAAGTTTAAATAACGTACCCAAGGTGAGACAATTAGCGAAAGTTGCCAAGCTGATCTAGGAACCGAGGAGGGTCTATCTCCACAATTCTTAAATTCCAATTCTCAAATCCCTTTTAAGAAACACCCATCAGGTAGGTTCTCAAATTCCCCAGACATCTAAATGTCTAGCACAGAGTTGACTGACTACGGCCAAATCCAGGTACCCCATCTGTTTACATATTGCCAAAGGCTGTTTTTGTGCTGCATCGGCAGAGTTTAGCGGCAGCAGAAACTGTATGGCCTGCAAAGCCTGAAATATTTACCCCGGCCCTTTACAGACAGAAGTGTTTTCATCCTGCTCTAGAACTTTGAAAACTTAGAGCACACTGTAACCGTACAGCACTTCACAATGTACAAAGCACTGTGGGACACGTCGTCCCACGTAACCCTCATTCTCTAGGGGCATTTGTGCATTATAAAGGAGGAAGCTAAAACCCAGAGAGTGTAAGTAACTCGCCTGATCAGGACAGCAGGGGCAGAAAGTGGCAGCAACACACCCAGGTTCTGACTCCCAGTTGCAAACTCTTTCCATGAAGCCACCCTGTCTCTTCTAACTTACCGCCAGGGAAGGGCTTGGACACCGGAAACGAGTGTGGACGCTGAAAGCCAGTCACACTGTCTTCCCGATCCCAGTATCATTCCAGGCACAATCATATCATTAGAGTCATCAAGTGCTAAAAATATTCAATTTGTAATAAACTTGAAAGTACAGTTTATGCCTTCAAGGGGGGATGGGGCATGATGATCATAGAAAAGACATTTTTAAATATATATGATGCATTTTTATATTATCAGATATGAAATTTTAACCTACTCAGTTTAGAATGATGTGAAAAATAACATAAAATGAGCAATGGACATATTTCTCTTACTCTTTGATGAAATCAGCCTCAAAAACTATTCTGGCTGTTCTAGACCCAAAATTTGCACACAAATAAAAATGCAATTATACCTTCCTTACGCTAAATATTCAATAAATATGTGCTTAGTTTTAACAAGATTTACTGTAACTAAGAACATCAGCAAAATAATACTCATGTAACAATATAACTTAACAATTTGTCTTTCAAAGAAAGAATAGGTGTTTCCTCCTAGCCTGCAAATTCAAGCTCAATCTGAATAGCAATGATGATTCTCGAAATAATAGCGTTTAGCTTTAGGAATACACTTGAAATATACAATATGAGGCCCCTTCCTTTTTATTTGAGATATATCCTGAAACACATGTTGAGATTTAAATTTAGACATACAAATCGATATGGAGGCACCTGGAAGTCACTACAACAAAAAAGGAAAAAAAAAAATCTGTCTCTTACCAATTGAGTGATTGCTATGTGTTAGGCCCCTTTACTTATTTTAGTTCCCACAAAGCTCACAGTGAGCTATGAAGTATTTTCCCTCCCCATCTTACAGATAAGGAATCTGAGGCTCGAGGTTGTTGTTGTTATTATTATTTTAGAGAGAGAAAGCAAGTGCAAGCAGGGGAGGGTCAGAGAGACGGGGAGAGAGAATCTTAAGCCGGTTCCATGCCCAGTAAGGGCCAGACACAGGGCTTGATCTCACTACCAAGAGATCATGACCTGAGCCGAAATCAAGAGTCAGAGGCTTGACTGACTGAGCCACCCAGGTGCCCTTCAAGGTGATTACTAACTTGCAGAGGTCACACAGCTGGAATTCAAGCCAGAGTACCTTCAAAATCCACTCTCCCACTGCCCATCTACATTCCCAGGAACCCCAAGATCACTTGCCAATCTTTCATAAATACTCATTATAAGAAGAGAATTTTTCTTTTTCTTTATTGGCTGACTGATACTTGGTAATTCCGCCCACACTATAATATTTTAATAAGGAAATGTTATCTATGGGCTTTAATTTCTCCTTTTAAGGAAAAAAAATTGAAGCGCCTGGATTTCAGTGAACTTTTTAAGTGAGTCTGCAATGAATACTTGTAGAGATAAAACTTAATGATTCAGCTAACTGCCCTAATCAAAAGCAAAATTACAGTTTACAGCACAACTTTATATAAACCTAGTTAATCTTAGCCCATACTCACAATAATCAGTCACTGAAGGTCCTTATTGTAATAAGTCAAAGAGAAAAATAAACCATTATTTGAGGCTATAAATCAACTGGTTTTCTAATAACTGACCTATGGCCTGTATTAAAGAATGTCACTTTAAACAAGTAGGTTCTGCCGACTGACTGATCAAAGTTCTATTTTACCTGTTGGCAAGGGCAGATTCTAATAGCCTTCAAGAAAAGGACCTCGCCTTACACATTTGTGTGTCTCTCCTGGCACCCCAAGCCCAGCGTTTGGCACAGAGGAGGCACGCAGTCACTCCTAGTAAATATGCTGCTCGTTCACCTTTTCAAGTCAATGCATACCATTTTCAAAGTTGGTCCACGGCACAGGCTCAAGGGCACTAGAAATGGGAGGCCATACCGTAAGTACTACTATGCAGACTAGGAGGGGAACCAGCCGGCCCCGGGGAGAATGGCAGATTTATATTTTAACAAACAACCACGGCTCATTGCAGGCACTAATTTAGTTCTATTCCCTAGCAATTAAACATTTAACTGAAAACTGACGGAAACAAAAACTGCCACTAATAGACACCATGAAACTTTTTTCCTTTTGCCATGATTCCATATTGAGGTACGATCTCTTTCTCTGTCCTGCAGACAGGTACGTCGGGCAGTACGTTCCTGCTTAATTCTCCTGTCCAGTAAAACGATACAAACAAATAACTGTGTGGAAAGTGGCACTGAGGCTTCCTTCTCTTCTGTTGGTAAACACGGGCTGGTTTTCTGGACAGAGGGGAGAAGAAGGTCGCTTCTGCTTTTTTCACATCTCTAATTTTAATACACTTTTTAAAAATTTTGGTTATAGAAAAACAGACACAGAGGAAATAAGTTAGGAGATGCTTATTCACATTGTAAAGGGATTCTCCAGAGGATTGCATTAAACACTGACCTCTCCTAAAGCAGTGAATTGGGGATTTGATTTAAAAGCAGTGTTTCAAAAATACGTGTGTGTAAAGTGAGGTACACCTGTATATTCATCCTAACTCTTCCCCAAGGGCAATCTAGCATCGTCTTTGTACTCATACGGCAGGGGAACAAACAGTACTTGTTAAGGAACAGTCCACGGATCATTGGACCACCCTCCTCACCGTTTTTTAGGTGATGAGACTTTGAGGAAGTCATGAGACCCACTTGTGGCCACAGTCCTTTCACTATTCTGCAACAAGGCTCCTTCTGGAACGGGGGGCTTGCTACACATTCGCCCAGTGCAATGTGAGTCAAGGAGCAGTGTGTATGGATTTGGATTCAGCACAGGCCACCTATATAGCCTGTGACAGATGAGGAAAAAAAGAGCAACTGACTCAAAGGCTTCTGGTAGTTAAGCTACTGTTTCACCTCATCCTGGTTACAAGGTGACGGAGGGCTCCCTTCTTCACCGGTGAACACTGATGCCCACCTACAGCAGACAGAGCCCAACTGCTAGCTGTGCAAAAAAAAAAAACCAAAAAACCAAACAAACAAAAAAAACAAAACCATGAGAACCAGGGATCCTTCCTACCCAGTCTTTATGCTGAATCATATTAATTGGTAAATCACCTTTCCCCCGTAGAGTAAAAACGGGTGTTTGGAAAAATCGACCAGCCAAGGAGATGCGCAGCTGAGGGTCAAAAGTTGACGATCTGACCTCCCTGGGTCACACCAGGGTTTCACCGCTCAAACCAGCGAGCCAAATTGCGTATGCTCTTGGGCCGGTCCCCAGCGCTCTGCACAGCCTGGCAGGCCCGGCACCAAGGCTCGTCCCAGAAGGAGGTGATGTGCACGGCGTAGCTCCTGCGCCAGCTGAAGTAGCGACGGTAGACCGCTGGGTTTCGGTCGAGGAAGAGCAGGTAGGCAGCCAGGGAGGAGGCACTAGGGAAGTCGTCTACGTGGATGAAGGCACCGCGGGGCATGAAGCGTTCATAATTGGCACGGTCGGGGCCCAGCACCACGGGCACGGCCCCGGCCAGCAACGCGTTGCGCCAGAGCTTCTCGGTGATGTAATCCAGGTGCTGCGAGTTCTCAAAGGCCAGGTAGAACTTGTAGCGGGCCACTGTGTGCAGAAGGCCAATGCTGGGCACCGGCCGGCCAGGCCCGCTCCTGCCGAACACGTCCACCGACACATGCTGGCTCAGCTGGTGGTAGTACCGGACCCGGGCCTGGCGCTCATCCCAGTTGCTCACCACCCAGGCCACCAGCCCCCGTTTCCGGGCCAGCGGCGGGGCCAGGCCTAGCGGCTGGTCGCTGGGATGGGTCCTGGGGTAGAGGTACCCGTAAGGCACGAAGACGTCCGAGTCGGCCCTGTAGGAGAGGGTCCAGTTGAAGAGGTTCCCCGCCAGGTTCCGCAAGCCCGGGGAGTGGGAGGGCGACTCGAAGTTCATCCACACCCAGCGCTGGCCCGGGGGCCTGAGGCCCGAGGTGGCCAGGGCTCCGGCGGCCACCGCCTCCTCGTCGTCCAACACCCGCAACTCCAGCTCATCTGCCCCGCGCACCGGGGCGCCCCAGGGCGGGGGCCAGTCACGGGGTTCCTTCACGAGGTCACGGTGGTGGAAAAGCACCGCCTGGGCCTCCCCATAGGCCGCACGGTCGGTGAGCAGGCGGCAGCCGCTGATGTTGAAGCGCAGCCAGCAGTCCGGGGGCGGCCTCGCGCCGCTGTCGCGCCCCGCGAAGGGTTCCCACCACAGCAGCACGGCCACCGGCCGCGGCGGGGCGGAGGATGCCCAGGGCAGCGGCGGCAGCTGCCTCCAGCAGCAGAAGGCGGCCAGAGCGGTGCACAGCAGGCCGGCCGCCGCCAGCGCGGAGGCGCTCGGCAGAAGCCCCCGGCCCCGGCGCCGCCCGAAGCGCCGGCCGGCCTCCCGGCCCCACGGCGCCCCC